TAATGTCATATATTTTATTTTCATTTCTTATTATAATCTTAGATATTTTATTTTTATTTATTTAATATAATTTTTTATGTTATATATTTTATTTTAATTTCTTTTACCTATCATTTAAATTTTATTTTATTTTATTTTTTATTTTTTATATTATATATTTTATTTTAATTATAACATTACAAAATATTTTTAACAAAGTAATAAAATTGAAGGGTAAAAATATCTTTAATAATATTGTAGAATGCAATGTAATGTGATTGCATCTTTTGGTTGTAATATGATTACATTGCAATCCTACGTTGCAATGGTCTATTACAAAACAAACATTACAATGTAATTTAATTAAACACATTGCAGAGAATGTGGTTTAATTTTTTTCATACCAAACGCTATTTAGTTGTTAAATCGAGATACGTATTATGTATCGAAATTTTATTTTTAATGTCAAGTATCATATAGTATTATAAGATACGGTAAAAAATTTTAAAATTAATTATAAATAACATTTATATATGTAAAATAAAGAAAAAAATAAAAAATTTATATTTTTTTAACAAAAATGAAGGTTATAAGGCATAAATTGAAAAGATAATTATTTTTTTAATTTAAACTTTCAACATATTCTTTAATAATATAGATTTTTAAATAAAATATACATTTTATCATATTAATTTATTACTTAAAAATTAAAAATATTTATCATGTTAAAATTAAGAGAGAATTCAAATTTTTTTAGTATTTTTTAATTTAAAATCTAAAAATTGAAACTTATAAAATATAATTTTTTATATTTTAACTCAAAAAAATAAAAAATTAAAATTTTTAATAATTAAGTAAATATAAATTTATAAAAAATATATCGATTATATTGTATGCTTCGATATTTGATCAAATATAATATAATTATAAATACATATTATTTTTATTAATATTGTATTATATCTATATATTATACATATTATGTATTGTATGATAATGATAATTATAGAACAGATAACATTTCCAACTTGTGGAACCAAAGGCTATATAAATTGCATTACAATAAATCAGGATTGATTTATGTTGCATGTCATTCACATTATTTAAGCAGGACTAATTGCTCAAATCAGCCTCAAACATTTTTTAAATATTTCACATAAATATCAAACCTTTGATTTCCTGTAATTTTAAAGGTGATTCTGTTAAGAGTTTTCATTTAAAGATAAATTTTAACATTATTTATAGTATATTAAGATAATCTTTTCCAGATGGCAAAAGAAAAAGTGTTACGTGACAATTGACTCATCTTCAATTTAAATATATATAATATTTATTTAACCTGACCGGTTTTTCTCTCAAAACAAGAGGAGGAAATTTATGTTTTGTGATTAAACAAGAAATTCATCTAGGAATTTCCTTCTACTTCCATTTCCCTCCCCATGGACAACAACGAAAGCCTATTTTCAGATGCAATGCGTCTTGCCATCACCACATATACATATAACCGCTGCCACTTATTTTCACCTCTGTCCGCTCTTGCCCAGCCAATCTCAGCCCAGGCGTCGTCATATATGCCCAAGCCATCTGTCGTGGCTTCACTTTGTCCACGGAGGTTGTGGAAGACTCAATTTAATCTTTTTAAACCTGTTACGTAAATGCATAAAAATAGTGGTAAAAATAATAATAAAAGTTAATATTTAATTTTTTTATAAACATATTTTTAAAAAATATTTTCTTCTTAAATTCGTTAACAATTATTTTTTTATAAACATCTCATAATCTCTTGTCCTCGTTTCCTTCTCGACGGCTTCCTCTTTGAATTTTTTTTCTTACTCAAATCAAGATTTCCCCTAAAACTCTCCAAGTCTCTCAAAACAGACAAACTCTCAATTCATTCTTTTTTGTTTTTTATCCTCCATGGCTTTTTGGTGTTTGTGATTTTGGAAATGCTTTGACGTTGTGTTATGTATTAGTTTAATGAGTAAAATAACTTGATTTTTATAATTTTTAGACATAATTTCACGTAAATTTATTAATATTATTTAAAAATATAAACACTGTTAATAAAAAATATAAAAATTAAAATATTATTTTTATTAATTTTAAAAATTATTATTATTATTTAAAAAATTATATAATAATTTTTAAAATGAATAAAAAGTAAAATTATCATTTCAATATTACTAGCTCATCAAATTTAAAGAGTCTTTTATCTTAATTCTATTTTTGTGAATTTTTTTTATTAATTTTTGTTTTGTGACTATTTGTAATTGTTGATGATAATACTTATTAGTTTAGAATTTGTGAAAGTGATTTTTATGTAAATGGTGGTTGTTGCATTGATATTTAAAAATTTCTTTTTGTTTATATAAGTATTTGATTTGACTTTTTTTTTTTATTTTTTAAAAAAATTTAGGAAGCCTTAGCCACCATCATCACCTCCTCCTCTCCTTAGTTCCTTCCTATGTATCTTCTTCATAAATCTAACACCTCTCCACCATCTTTGCTTCCCTTCCTTAACTTCATTAAGAGGAAGACCTCTTTAATTACTTATGTCTAAATTATCAGGTCAAAATCTTTTAAATCATCTTGATGATGAAATTAACCCATGAATATTGTGACTTATTTCAGATTATTTTCTTTGCTATTCGTGTAATATAATTACTATATATTTAATTTCATCACGTAAGATAATTTTAAAAAAAATAAATTAATTAAAATCAAGCCCCTAATAGATCTTATATTTTATAAATTATAATAATTTAGACAGAAAAAAATTATAAATCCAAAACCTTATTATTGGATAAGAGATGCAGATTCATGTGTCTCTCACTCTCCGGAGATTCTCATTCTATAAAATTTGCCAAAAACAAAGCAGCATATTTTGTCTCATTCTATCAGTAAATCTACCTTGCAAAGCTACAAGCCTAAGCCAATTTATAAAGTAGATTCAAGATAATCTCAAAGCATTAATATTTGTTTTATATGCTCTAATTTTTTCTTAAAACGTTTGATTATACCATGTAATCAATAGCCTTCGTTTTTAACTAACAACTATCTCTTTTCAATTTCAAATCAAAATTGCAGTTCAAGGCCCAGCCTTTGTTCAATCATTAGAGCTCCCATAATTGAAAGCTAGTGAAATGATAGTTGATCTAAAACAGTTTTCCTTTTGGCACTTGGGAAGGAGATTCAAACATTGCTATTTAAGTAAACAAATTATTAGTTAGTACATGATTTCTTACTTAAAAAATATTTGAATCTCTCTTTCACAATTAAAAAAATAATTAATCAAAAATAAATTAAAAAAGTACTAAATTTAAAAAGAAATACATCTCATAACATTTTCTTTAGGTTTTTTAATCTTATTTTGATTTTTTGGATTTATTTTAAATATTTGAATTACAATAATTGAAATGTTATAAAGAATAATTATAATAAAAAATTTCCATCTATAAAAAAAAACCACTCTTATGACAAAGAGTTGCCTTTTCCTTTTAAATGTCTTAACAAGGGAAAATTACCTTATTTTTGAACGGCTCAAATCAAATAAATTTTTACATATGAACATTTAATTCCAAAATAAAAAACAAAAAAGTAGGTTGTGATTCAAATCGAAATCAATTTGTCTCTTGAGATTTAAAATTTGATAATTAACTTTTATTTATTTATTTTAATTAGAATTGTCTTGATATCATTAAGTACAATATGACTAGAATATTTCTTATTTCCATTAAATTAATACTAATAATAATATAAAAATAAAAATTTTATAAAAAATAAAGTTAAGGATGCTAGGTAAAAAGTAACGAAAATAAACAAAAAAGATAAATTTATTACAATCAACCTAAAAAATATCCTGCATTAAATAATAAGTATATGTATCCTTTTTATTAAAACAAATTAGTCAAAATCTTCTCTTATAAAGAAAAAAGAAAAGGGGAAATAAACTGAAAAAACCCCCTCATTATATTTTCATCTTGCTTTCATTCACTTTCAAATAGAAAACAATTGTAAAGAAATTTGATGGCACGGTCATATCAAGTGTAGATATTACTTTTGTAAAATGATTAGACTAAAATTGACATCCCAACAATACTTGTATGTTGAATGTTTTTTTACCAAAGAAACCTTAATGAGATTCCTAATTAATTACTTTGTGATTAGATCTATCCCAACCTCCAAATTCCTAATTGATTAATAATTTAGAATTTATTCTCCCCTAATCCCAAAAAGGACAATGCTCTGGGGTGTAATAAAGAGGAAAAGTTAGGGTCATTTTTGGACTTAAAACCAAAAATCTGAAATTTCACATTATCTGCATGCTTGTTCCTTTAAAATTTTGATAAGAGGGCCCCACTGCTGACCAGCGAAATAATAAAAAGATTGATTAAAATATTATAAAATTGGAAAAATCAAGGCCGTTTAAGGGATTGGCTGTCTGCTGTACTGTACTGTTGTCTTTTCTCCAATAAATTTATTTTTCTTTTTAAATATTAATGAGAAAAAGCAAAGTTATTTTCTCATAAAGAAAATATTGAAAAGTTTTAAATATTTTTATATTTAAATACTTTATATACATAGTGCTCTTTTTGTAGCGAAAAGAAAAGAAAAGAACAAAACAAGAATGGTACAGAGAATATATAAATATATATATATTTGACAACTTTCATATCTCTTGTCATGTAAGTTATTTTTCGTTTGTTTCTGTATGATTTTTGTTTTTCTTTTTTTTTTTTTCGTTTTCTCTCTCAAAATCTTCCTAGAAATAATGGACCCAGCAGATCCAAAAATCCCCATTTTTATCTACTTTTCATGGAGTTTCAGAAATACCCATTTCCATTTTTTGTTCTCTTTTAAGGGAGTCTTATTCTCATCTTGTTCGTTTCTGATTCATATCTAAGCCTTTTTCAAAAGATACCCACCATAGTTTTTCTTCTACTTTGCCCAAAACCAACGTCAATGAGCTCAGAGAAGTTGTTTTTGTTTTTTTAAGGTGAGATTAAAGAAGATCACTGTTTTAATTGCTTTGATGGGTTCTCTTCTTTTTCTTTATTTTTGGAGGATACTATATTTCTTTTTAATGGATATTCAATGTGTTTCTGATATAATTTTGGTTTTTCTTTTAGGTTTCAAATTTGATTATTTTCTTTTGGTTTTTATTTAATGTGGAAGATATGGATTGTAGATGTAATGCTGTTTTTTGGCATTTTGGTTAAAGTGTAATAAATTTTCACTCTGCCTCCTTAAGGGTATCTGATGCTGTCCTGTTTCTTTTTTTTTTTTAAACCACGAAATGGAACTTATTAGTTGATTTTTTGGTGTTTTACTGACGTGTGGCAGGTTTTTTATTTTCCGTGAAAATAAAGCTTAATTTATTCTTTGCAGTTTGATTGATCATTGATACTTTTGACTAATGTACAACTTATTTAAAGGTTAATATAATTGTTAGTAAGAGACCTGCTAGTTGTTTTAACTCATATATTTGTGTGTTAGTATTAGATGGTATATTACTGTTTTAGGCAGATTGTATACTTTCTGTGTTATTGGCAACACTGAGATTGTAGACTTTGAGGATATTAATTATGGAATATTAGAGCAATGCCTTTAATATATAATACAGATTAAATGTGTTTAAGGGGAGCAATTTCATTCTCTAATTAACTGAATTTTATCTTGTATAAGGTTTAGGGGTGCATTTTTTTTCTGAGTTTTGTTCTTTTCTCAATCTCTCCATTTAGACTTCTAAATTTACTTAGAACACCTCACAAACTGCCATAATTTGAAGTTACATTGCCTACCAAGGTGTGAGGGTGTTTGTTGGTTCATGATCAACCCCGTTTAGAGGTTGATTAAATTGGTTAGGCCTCCCTCATATGTAATTGTAAGTTCTGGTGTGCATTTAAATTGGTTAGGCCTCCCTCATATGTAATTGTAAGTTCTGGTGTGCATTTAATCTTTTTCGTATGAGAGAATGCAGTTGGAAGTTGGAACTTATTTTTATAGTATTGCTTCCATTTTGCATCTAAATTTTCCTTGGTTATGATATTTGATAGAGTTTTGCGCTGTGATGCATTTCTTCATGTGAGAAACTTCTTATATGACATTTGATAGTGTTTTGCTCTTTGTTGTTTATAGTATTCAAATGTTGTTGTACTATGGTGCATTCATGAGTGTGGTGTTAGACTGATACATTCTGAAGACTTGTGTCCGGAAATAGGATCATGGCTTGCGCACATGCCCATTTGATTCTCTTGAATTATGTTGTATTGCAATTGATGTTTTAAGTATTTCTTGATGGAAATTATTGTCAAAATATATTTGAGTTTATGAAATGCAACCATATCAGATGGCACACTGAGATTCTGATAAGGTTTTCTTATGGCCTTCCCTTCTGAACATTTTAACAGAACACAATTATTATCTGAGCCACCCTGGAAGAATGTTGGACAATGATTTTATCATTAATTTCAGTTAATATATATTTTATATTTTTATTAAGCTCTAGTATTTGATTTGTTTCTTATCAAATGGAGAGATGGAGAGAGAAAAGAAAAGATAAAGTAGCTTGTATAATATGTATTTTAAACAACTATACCTTGCCCTTATGCAGGTTGCTTTTGTCATAGGATAAAGGTTGCTCAGTTTAAACATATTGTAAAATTTGTGCTCCAACTTTTATGGCCATGCTAGGATTGCAAGCAGACATGCAGCACAAAAGCCACTTGCTAGGGTGTTATACTGCTTGGGACCTTAATTTGGATGTTAATGGCACTGTATGGCCCTCAGATAATGTTGATAGAATCATAAGGAATAGACATTACAATAATGGTACTTTGCCACTGTCTTCGGATTTGAACATCTTCTACAACAAGGATTTACTAAAGCAGACAATGCTCAAGCATGAAGCAGAATTTAGGAATCAGGTATTTCTCTCAAGATAAACTTCTTACATCCCGTCACCCAGGTATCCTGATGGTTCAGCTGGAGTGTTTCTATTCTATGTGCTTAAATACAATGCTCTGTCTCCTAAGCAACAACTTTGGTTACTGCACACACTGTTGGTAATTAGCTGGAGTTCTGAATACCTATAGAGAGTTCTATATCTTTAGATTGATCATGTAATTGTTATTTGAAAGGGGAAAAAAACATTGAAGTTTCTCCTGGGATACAAGAAAGGTTATGTGGAAATCCTCATTAATAGGGTTTGGGATTTGAAGATTTATGATGCACTAGGGAAATTAAGCAAACACCAGTTCTTGTTGCTACTAGTGCTTATTGTGCAATATATGCTGAGATAATTTGGGGATGAAGGGCCCCACCTCCCCAGGGGGGTTGTAACTATGCATTCTGCATAGACATAACTGTAGCATTTAAATCCTAATTCTGGAGACTGCTTGTTGCTTCTCTTAGAATCTTTGCAAGAGATGCATTTCTTGGGTTTGTGCTTATTTAAATTTTTTGAAAGTGAGTCTCTTTAATTGAGACTGAAAAGAATCAACCAAGCGGTCGTCAATCTAAAACAATAAAGTGATTCAAATGCAACCTGGTTGTTTTCTTTGGCCTCATTTTTATTTATCTATTTGTATTCTCCATTTGTCATCTCTTAAATCTAGAATTTTTGGTCCAACTATATCTGATATTATTGGTAACCTATTATTATCATGCAATTGATGCATCTGCAATGTGTTCTGTTTTAGATCCATGAACTCCATCGGCTTTACAGGAGACAGAAGGAATTAATGGATGAAATGAAAAATATTGAGTTATATAAACCTCATCGCAGTCTGGGCACCTTACAACCAAATCATGTATTATCTCCAAAGTCATCTAATCATGTACAATTACCACAACATACCTCCACCTCTATTAACCTTGTGCATTCTCAGTCCCCTGTTTCAGAAGCTAAAGATGGAAACAGAGGGCAAGCAGGTCATGATCCTATTTACATAGAATGCTCTTCAAAGGCCCCTGAGTTCATGGAGTCCAATTGCAAAAAGTTTGGCAAAAAGATCTTGGATCTTGAACTTCCAGCTGATGAGTACATTGATAGTGAAGAAGAGGGATTTTCAGAAGTGAAAATGGCTCCTGAAGTGACTGATATTCCAACCAATGCTCTAAAGAAAATTCCTGAGGTTAAAGATAGGGGTGATAAAGAACTACCCATTAGTGGCAGTGGGTGCAACTCAGTTTTCCCTGAAGGCAATTTTATTCCTAGTTCCATTTCTTTGAAGACTAAAGTTTTAGCTGATTTAAACATTCCTGTCAAACTTGAGGCAGATATAATTCCTGAGCTCAGTGACTTTCAGCACCCTATTATTGGCCACAGAGAAACTTCATTACTAGATCTCTCTGGAAAATCATATTCAAGCTTTGAAGTTCTGTCCAAGGAGGTGATTCCAAATAGCCAGATAATGAGGGATCCAGAAGCAGACTTGGATATTTTATTCCTGGATAAGCACAATATGCAAAGAGAACGCATAACTTTGCAAAGAGAACGCATAACTTGTAATGATAAAGCGGGTAAGGATGTATATAATCTATTATCAAATTATCGTCATTTTGGTTTTTATTATTTTTCTTTTTGGCATTTGTAGTTCATTTATCTTCAGTCTCTAAATCCTTCACCTTGTAGTATTTATACTGCTGCTAATGATTTTATATGGTTGGTAATTCCTTTTCAGGGCAAAGCAGAAATGATTTGAATTCTTCCTGCCAAGATCTCTATACTGAAAAATTATCAATTGAGCACATTGATGATGAGCGAGCTGAAGATTCTTCAACACCTCATGGTTTGGAAGAGACTAAAGATAAGTTATGCAATGAAATTTTACAGTGTGTCGGAGGAGACATCTCTTCTAGTAGCGATAAACCAGTTGCTACTTCAGACATGTGCAGCTCATATCAAATAGTTCCTTTGGCTGATAAAATGAACTCGGAGTCATCCTCTGTTTCATCTTGGAGACGTGACTTCAAACGGAGCCCTATAGCAGTTCAAGCACTTCCATGTTTTAAGGGAAAAAGTTCGAAATCATTTACCCGAAGCCCTGGACTTGCTGGAAATGAGCTTTGTCTTAGCAAAAAATTATCTGCTCCAAACTTCCCACAGGCAAGTTGGCAGAATGATTTTCAGCTGGAGGGTCAGCCACCATCTACAAGTTCTGTTTCACTGAACTGCAATAATGACAATGGCTCTGCATTTGAGCGACATAGTCCTGTGAAATACATCAAGGATTTTAAGTATGTGATGTCTGTAAAGAGTTTGGATCTCAATTTTGTCTTGCCTAGTTTCTCCACAGATGTGGCTTGTTCCCAAGATGCTTCTTATATACTTGGTGAAAAGACACTTGAAAATTCAAGTGGTTGTTCTCAAATTGCTGAAACGCCAATACATGATAGCAAATCTGGTGAAAGGAAAGACCAGTCAGTCCCACTGGAATGTGTCCTTAAACAAGCTAATTCAGTGTGTGTCCATGATGCTGAGTTGGATAAGGCAAGCAACTCCCTTGATTTTAAGAGGATACTTGGATTTCACGGGTATAACAAGCCTCCTATTCCCAATGGCCAGTGCTCATCTCATGCCTCCCCTGCCAGAAACCATTCAAATTCTTGTGCAAAAGAAGACATCAAGGACAAAGAAAAAGATATGAACTTGGAAGTTGATCATGTGCCTGTCAGAGAAAAACTAGCTATGGCTGAGTTGTTTGCCAAAAGCAAACGTTGTGAAAAGCATCCAAGTTTCGGAGTGCTCATTGACCTGAACTCTTGCTTATCTCTGGATGCATCTCCACTAATGCCTTCGCATTCAAAGGAAATAGATTTGGAGCCACCTGCAAGTCCAGAAAACAAAGAGAGGTCACCACCTAGAGGGGAATCCGATGAAAACCAACTTGAGACACCTTTGGTATCTTCAGGACAAGAAGATGGGGATCTGCAAGAGGCACTAGTTAGGATTGCAGCGGAGGCTATAGTTTCCATTTCATCTTCTGAGATTCAGACTTGTTTAGAAAGCACCAGTTGTGAACCTTTTAAAGCTTCCTGGAATAATTCCCTCTATTGGTTTGCAAGGGTGGCTTCTTCAGTAGTGGATGATCCAGGAAGTGAATTTGGAGTTAACATAGGTGTTAAGGATTATGGTGATCATGAGGAGTATCTATCTGATGGAATTGATTACTTTGAGGCCATGACATTGAACCTAACAGAGATAACGGTAGAAGAATCTTGGTGTAAAAGCAATGGCCAAAAAGAGGAAGAAATGAGTGCAAATTTTTTGAGAAACCAGCCAAAGAGGGGTCGAACGAGGAGGGGACGACAGCAGCGGAAGGACTTTCAAAGTGAAATTCTTCCAAGCCTTGCCTCTCTTTCAAGGTATGAGGTGACTGAGGATCTTCAGATGATAGGAGGGTTAATGGAAGCTGCTGGTGCTCAGAGGGAAAGTGGTTCTTCAAGAAATGCAGGTAGAAATGGATATGCAAAAGGAAGGCGACGGTCTAATGCCCGTGCTTCCAATATAATGGAGAGCACGATGAACACATTGCTGAAGCAGCAGTCTGTTAATGATGAAGTGGGTATCCAGCAGAGAAGACTAATAGAGTGGGGGAAGATAACAAGAAGACCTCGGGGGCCAAGATGTCCATCGAGTAATCCTCGGCTTATATTAGGCCAAGTATAGTAAGAGTAACTTTAAGGGCTTTTGGGTTATAGCTAACAGTCATGTGATTATGATGTAAATGCCAACTAAAATATGACATACCAATTACATTTTATAGGAGAATAGAAGTCCATTTTCAACTTTTAATGGCTTTTGGTGTTGGTACTGGTCTGGTAAATGATGAGATTATGAATATGCTCTTTTGAACCTAAGAGTTTGTTCTAAACAGTAAATTGAAAATCTGCCATATGATAATGATTTTTTTGTCTATAGAGGCCTTCAGATTTGAAATTTCCTTTTGAGCTGTGGAATGCTTTCTCAAGAGATCCATTCGTGATGCCAATTACTTGAATAGGATCTGCTCAGGTTTTTATCTCTTTGTCCTTGTCTAAGAAGGTAGGTCTAGCCAGGAGCTAAAGAGTATGACAAACAGCTTCATTCAGCTACTACTATGATTAGTTAGGGGAGATCAATTAACTTGCCCAGGAATCTGTGGTATTGTTTTCTTCAATTGTTGAAAGAGAAAAAAGCAGCCAAGTCAACCCTGCTTTTAATCTGATGCCTATAATAATCACATAAGTATTGTTTTAGGTTTAAAATTACTGTTACATTTTTAACTGTAGCAAAGGAGAAATCAGAATGTTAAATAGATTTATACCTGAACAAGGTAAGTGCATGTCGAAGAGTTTGGTTCCCATCTTCACTTTTTTTATAAATAAAAAAGATTTATTATTAAAAAATATATATTTACGTTTGAATATTTTTCATTTAATGATAAAAATATAAAATATATAAAAATATGATAAAATATAACTTAAAAGAACAACTATAAGAGAAATATAAAAAAAAAGTATTTAAAAGAAGAGAGTATTTAGGAGTAAGAAAATTTTATTCAAGTGTGTATTTACAAATAAAGTGAGGAGCTTATTTATAGGTTAATAATTCTTATAGAGATAAGATTTACAAGATAAAGATAATACTAAAAGATTAGATGAATGGATTAAATTTTAATTTTAATCCAATCAAATTTACCTTCAAATTTAAATATACATAACATAAATGGATATTCACAAAAATATTCATAGCACTCTCCTTAAATATTTATTGTATTAAAAATATACATCATTAAAACTTTATTAGGAAAAATTCATTCTTTTCAAGCATATATTTTTGAAATACTATTTCATAAAAAACCTTATAAAAAAAATTTAGTAGAAAAGACTTTGATGAAGGAAAATAGTACAATGCGTATTTTATTCTCATGATGAGTGCATTATTTAAGATATTTAAAACAATATAATTCAATTTTTTATACCAACTTTTCAAATATTGCAGTAGGAAGGGCTTTGTTGAATAAATATGTTAAATTGTCACTTTAACAGATTTGCTGAAAACCAATATAGTCATTTTTTTGGAAATCATGAGCTTTTTTTTAATTGTATTATGCAAGCGGTATTATCTTTATATAACATTGTTAGAATTTCCTTCTTAGTTGACAAGTCACACGTTTCTCAAATATATTGAGTTACAGATTCTAACCGGACACATTCATGATTTGCTAAAATTTCCACAAAGTTAGAATAAATAGCAAAATAGTTTGTTTTACAAAATACTATGAGATAGTCATACTTCTACATATGAATAAGTAACCTTAGATAAATATTCAACATATGCATAATCAATTAAATTTGATTTTGATACATTTGAGTAATATAAGTTCATGTCCATTATTATCCGGAGATATCGAAATATATGTTTAATTTTATTTCAATGTCTTTGAGTTGGATAAGAACTATATCTTGTTAATATTTACAGCAAATGATATATTAGGTTATATATTGCTAACAAGATACATTAGTGTTCCAATTGTATCAAGATATGGTATTTCAAGATTTAGAAATCATTCATTATCCTCACGAGATTGGAAAGGGTTTTTATCACTTTTAATGACCTTATAACTATTGGTGAATTCAATGAATGTATTTTATCCATATAAAATTATTTTAACACTTTTACTATATAATTTAATTGATGGATAAAATTTTATTTGTCAAGTGTTCAATTTGAAGATCCAAACAAAACTTTGTTTTTTCAAAGTTTTTCATCTTAAATTCTTTCTTTAAATAATCAATGGCTTTTGATAACATTTTATAAAATTTCAATAATATTCAAGTCATAAACATAAACAACAATTATGAGAAATTCAAATCCAAATTCTTTTATAAAACACATGGGCAAATAGGATCATTTTATAATCTTTTTTTAAAAAACATTCACTAAAGCGATTGTATCACATGCGTCGAGATTGCTTTAATTTATATATAAATTTATTTAATTTAATCGAATAAATTTCTTAAGAATTCAAATTTTATGCTTTAGGCAATTTAAATCATTTATCAATTTTCTTATACATATCGTTATCAAGTGAGCCATATATATAGACTGTAGCTATATTCATTAGACATATTTCAATATTCTCATTTATTACCAGATTAGTTAATATAGAATTGTAAATGTATCTACCATAAGAGAATATTTCTCTTCATAATCAATACCAAGTCTTTGGGTAAAATCTTGTACAATAAGTCATGCTTTATATCTCACAATCTTATTTCTATAATTTTATTTTCGCACAAAAACCCATTTATATTTTATTGGTTTTACACGATTTGGTATATGAACCACAGGTTCAAAAACTTCACGTTTTGCAAGTGAATTTAATTCCACTTTGATTGCTTCTTTCCACATTGGCCAATCATTTCTAAGTCTATATTCTTCAATAAATAAAGTTCAAGATCTTCATTTTTCTTTCGTAATATTGAACGCTATATTATATACAAAAATATTATCGACGTTTATTTAATTTTGGTTCTATTTTTTTCCATCATGATATAATTTATCGAGATTTTTTTATTTTCAATGATTTTAGGTATTTGAATTTTTTCTGAAATTTTATAAATTATGTGAAGAGATTCTTTTGGAGTTTATGTTTTCTCTTTCTAATTATCTTGAATATTTGCTCATTTTCTTTTTCGAAGATTTCATCTTTTGAACCGATTGGTCTACCAAGTTCTGGCATGCCTTAGACTCATTAACAATAGCATATTGTCCTATTGGGACATCAATTTTGATTAGAGCATTTGCAATTGATGTATGAAAATTAATTACTCTCTTTAGGTCAGTAAATACATTTGGTAGTTGATTTGTTATATTTTACAAATGAATTATATTTTAAACTTCAAGTTCACATTGATTTGTGTAAGGATCAAACCTAAATAATAATAATACATTCCAAGATATTTTCTTTTTCAATTGCTTATTTTCTCCCTTTAATGTTGAAAAAAATGTTTCATCAAAATAACAATCAACAAACCTTGTCATGAATAATCTCATGTTAAGGGTTATAAGTATTTAATGATAGATAGAGGTTCATATCCAACATATATTTCTAACTTTTTTTTAGAGGTCATCTTTGTGCGTTATGGTGAAGCAATTGAAATATATACCACACATCTAAAAATTCAAAGATAGAAAATATTTGGTTTCTAACTATAAATCAAACGTATAAGGGAAAATTTGTGATAACTCATTGACCTTATGCATACAAGTACTGCTGCATCCAAAATGGTATGCCCTCAAACAAAAATTGAGAATTAATGACCTTGCAATTAGTTGGAAGTATTTAATAAACGATTCTGCTAGATTGTTTTATATATAAACATGAGTAATAAGTTGTTTAATAGTAATTTCAATTAATATACAACATTCATTAAAAGCTTATGTCGTAAATTCGCCAGTATTATCACCATAAATTGTCTTGATTACATAATCAGAAAAATATGCTCACAAACAAATGATTTAAGTGAGTAATTTTGCAAATGTCAAATTATAAGCTAATAATAAACACACGTCACTATCTAGTTGATGTATCAATTAAAATTATAAAATATCTAAATAGTCCACATGATGGATGTATGAATCCACATATATCATCCTGAATATGTTTTAAAAATGTAAGAGATTCAGTCCCAACTTTAGCTAGTGATGACTTTATAATTAATTTGCTTTGAGAGCAAACAGCATATAAGAATTCATTAGATTGAATTTTTTTTTTTGTTTTTCAATGAATGATCACATAAATTTTTAATAATTTTTGCATCATTATTGATTCGAGATGGTCCAACCGGTCATGCCAAATATTAGAATTATTAGTAAACTTTTGGTTTAATATAGAGTGAGATTTAATCATTTTTAATTTTTGTATGATACAATCTAGAAGACAAAGCGGGTAATTTTTTTTTAATGTACACTTCTTACCCTAGATAATAAATGTAATATAGAAGTATTATGTGTCTTTTTCATTCGTTGTCTCAATATAATATTCATTCATATGAATATATTTAAAATTTAATAACTCTCTTTGAAAGTTAGTTGAAAATAATACGTTTTCTATTATAAACTTTGTTCTTTGGGGTAGTAAAATATTGGCTCTTCCAAAGCTTACCATTAATCTTATACTACTAGACATTGTATTCGACATTGGCTTCTTTTATTGTTAAATAGGAAAAATATTTTTTGATTTAAATATAATGTGTTGTAGCACTGTATGTTAGACATATATTTGCATAATTGATTTTGAATCAAATGAATATCTGTATTTTTCTTCAATAAGATAAGATACATAATAAGAAACTTACAAGTTGACATAAGAGAACATTGAATAAATAATTTATTATTTAAAATACATAATAAAAATATATCATTTAAATATAATGAGAACAAATAAAAATATCTTCATGATATAGTTATACTAAAATATACCAATAAATTATTAAAAAATTTCATTCTTGCATATTTCCATTATCAATCATATTATAAATATCTTTTCAGGGAGGGCAATAAAATCAACATCTTGAAGAGTTATGTCAACTTGGTTATGGTTAAAATCATCATAATATGTTTTAGTTTTCAATGATGTTTAATAAAATTCAAAACGTGCAATAAGTACGTAACCAATGCCTTTTCATGTCACATCGAATGGATGACAAGACATTTTTTATATTCTTTTTATTCTGTCCATTTATATCTTTTCAATATGTATCCACTTTTGATATGTTAAAAGTATTTATTCACTTTTAGTAAATTAAAAGTATCCATTTAGTTTTCTTAAGTTATCCACTTTTGGTGGGTTAGTGGATTGAAATCTCCATCTATTTCTAGTAAGTAAAATTATTTATCTACTTTTAGTGGATAAATGTATTCTTAGAATTAAAATAATAATTAGTATAACCACTATGATTGCAATTATTATGATAATCACTTCCATTTCTATGACCACATTTATTAAATGACGTTGCATACAATTAAGGAAACAAATGAATTCATAATTTTTAACTAGTAGTTTATTATTTTGCTTAGTAATAAAAATACTACATGATAGCAAAATTTAAATTAAGGTTAATTTTCAAGGAATAAAAGCACCAAAATGATTTTTAAAGAAGAAAAATACCAAAGAAATATCAAATCACTTATTTAATTTGTTACAACCAAAAATTAAAAATCAATCATTAAAATCCTTTTGAATCTTGGAGATGATGAAAACAATAATATCAACATTTATCTGATTTGCTAAGATTAGAAATTAAAATCCAACAATTGAAATTCTTTTGAAACTTAAAAATGATGAAAACAAAATAATATAAAAACTTGAGAGATTAAAAAATTATGTTGATAACATGTTATGAAATAAAATTTGAAAAAACAACTTAAGTGTATATTACAAATTTTATTTAAGTGTACATTTACAAATTGATGAATAATTAATATTTACGTATGTATTTTTATTTTTACTTTATCTTGTTTATTTTGTTTTGTTTTATTGTTGTTCAATCCAACTAAATATCCAATGGGCTTCCAAAGGTCCCCGGGCCTTGTGTTGGTCTCCCAAATCTTTCTGGATCGTGGTGATGTTAGACCTTGCTTGGGTCTACATTATTGAGCCTGTTAATGAAAAAGCAAGAAAAACCCAAAAAAAAAAATCAAAACCCTAGAAACCAAAAGAAAAGGTAGACAGAGAAACCCTAGTCTTTTTCTTTTCTTTTCTTTTCTTCCCTAGCAGTCGACATTTTACCCCCAAAAAAAAAACGAAAAAAGAAACTAAAAAAAAGAAGAAGAAATGCAGCAAGATATAGGTGCTCGAGATGGGATTTTTTTTTACGGCTCCGATGATTTAGGAGCTTGGGAGTGCTCTGGGGTTGTGAGGTTTTAGAGAGGGGAAAGTAGATCGGCGATAGTGAACGGTTCTCACAGCGGCTGTGAGAGTGGTGGAGAGATTTAGGAAAGTTTAGGTTAGGGAGAAGAGGCCGTTAGTGAGGAAGAAGAAGAAGAAGGAAGGAAGATGGGGCAAGGGAGGGAAAGCATGGTTTTACGGCTAGGGTTTTGTGACAAAACGGTGGCGTTTTAAAGAATCCGGAACAAGGAGCTTTTGTTGTGCTGGAAACGGCATTGCTTTGAGGCTGGGTCTTTGACACGCCGGGCTTGGACAGTGAACTGGGCTGGGAAGAAAAGGTTCAAGCCCATTTCAAGGACCTAGTTCCGTGGGTAGTCCCTAGCCCAAACTTTGATATAGTTTTGGATCCTTTGGTTTATCGGGCTTGGCTGGTTTGTTGGCCTTTCAGTTTTATTCATTTTATATTTATTTTGTGTTTATTTATTTAGTTTCTTTCAATTTTTTATTTAATATATAATGCAAATTTTTTTTATGAAATACTTAGTTATATAAAATGTTTTAAGGTAAAATATATATAGGTATATATATAAAAAAAACTTGTAATTTCAATTCTAAGTAATATTTAAATTAATTGACCTATAAAAGGGAAAATTGTAAAGATGAGTCTCATAATAAAAGATATGGAATATTAGGCTTAGAAAAATAATAATAAAATAATAAAATATTTGATTTTTTCTTAAATGTCTGCGACAATAATATAAAAAATAATAATAGTATATTATGTGGATTGAACTGAAGATGGAACGTTTACCTTGGATATGAGAAGTCCTAGGTTAATTTCTTAAGTGAGAGATTTGATTAAAATCTTACCAACATGATGGGAGGATTTTAATAGTTAAGTCTTGACATATCTTAATCTGAATAATATTCTAAATTGGTTAATAATAATTAATACAAACAAGAAATATTATTGACTTAGAATTGAAATATAAAATATTATTATCTAAAAAATATATAAATATTTATGTTTTTTTTTAAAAAATAAAATACATAATAATATAAAACATGTTATTTGAATTATACCAAGGATGGAATATTTAATCAGGACGTGAGAAGTCACAATCTTGAGTTAATTTTCTTGTGTGAGGGATTTTGGTTAAAACTCTATCAATATGTTGGGAGGGTTTTAACCTCAAGTCTCATTATCTTAACCTAAAATAATATTTTTTAAGATATTAATAAAAAAAGATATTAAAAATAAAAAAGCATAGAATAGAAATGAAATAATAAAAAAATAAAAAAATAAAAAAATAAAAAAATAATACTAATAATGACGACGACAATAACAACAACAAACATGTAGTATAAATAACGATTAATGTTGAAATTTATAACATGTCATGCACCATCATCACATCATTTAAGTGTCATAACATCTTGATGCATTTTGTATGCAAATTAAGGTCCAGATGTTGGGACTTTTAGAGGTAATGTCTTAGAAATTTGCTTAGATAAAAGGATATCTTCGCGTACCACCGGTATGATGGGAGAGCTCAAAGAATATCCTTAATAAACGACTCTTACTCGTATTAAGGTTTGTTCATGAAAAAAATATTTTTACTTGCAAATGATTACTTTGATGATGGAATTTACTTGATAAGCTTGCGAATAAGAGTTTTTCTAAGTAATTCCTTAAGTGAGAGAATATCTTCATATTCCACTACTATAATGATCAGATTCGAAAAATATCCTTAATAAAAAGTTTTCAATTGATATTATTAAGATTTATGGCATGCATTTCATAATTGTATATGTGCATGTCACACCTATAAAATCGAATTAAATATTTTTAAGTTGCTAATAAAATAATGAATAACGTAAATAAATAATGATTAAGGAAATAAAAAATAAAAATAAAATTAAATTAAATAGGATAATATATGATTAAATGATACTGTTTGTAGAACGGGCGTCGTGTTAATCATTCCTTATATGTAATCGTACTTCTGAACCCAACTCTAGAACTTATAGACCAAATTATTATTTTTTAGATGGATCTAAAATCAATTTAAGATCTCATTGAATATAACTAATATAATAGGAGGCCAATCACATTTAGATAAAAAGATTGGTGGCGATTTCTAAAATTTTCCACGTCGACAATTTATATATATTTTACAAAATGAAAATAATACTAAGAGATTAGTTACATAGATTAAATTCTAATCTTAATCCAATTTAATTTATATTTAAATGTAGATATATATAACATAAATGGATATTCATAAAATATTTATAATAAATAAAATAATTTATAATAAATTATATTTAATATACTATGAGTCCATTATTTTATTTTGATATAGGCGAAAGTCATTTAATTACATTTGTATTTAATTACGAAATATTACACACTTAAGTGAACATTTAACACAAAAAATTAAAAATATAGTATTGAATAACAAATCTAAAGCAACGTATTTAAAGCAAAAAAAAAAACTTAAAAGTAAAAAACTAGTAAATTGACACCCTTAATAATAATAACATCAAGAACTTATTATTATTATTATTATTAGGGTAAAATACTCGAGTTCTTAAGTTTTGATTATAATTTCACATGGGTCTCTTAATATTGAAAATAGATGATCTGTCTCAAAAGAATATATTTTACTAGACACATAAATCCAACCATTAATCAATTGTCAATGTTTTCGTTATTTTGATGATGTGAAAATATTTCTTAAACAATTTTTCCCTTCATTAATTTTAAAAATTAACATACTATATAAACTACAATTTTTTATTTTTTTACTCTTCTATTCAAAAAAAAAAAATCTCTTTACCCTACCTCTAGCATTCTTGCGACCAAATCTAACAAGAAACGTCAGATCTGACCCAATCACACTCTTTCTTGGAAACGTCGTTAGATTACACTCCCTTAGGGGAGATATCGACAAATCTCAATTTCAACGATCGGTGGAGTGGTTAGTTGACGTACAAAAATGTATTTACGTTATTTACATGTTTAAAGCAAATTCTCTATTTCGGATACAAATAGATTCAAATAAAACTATAATTAAAATTTAGAGAGATAAGGATATATTTTTGCTCATTATTATTATTATTATATTTAACACAATAAATTAATAAACAAACTAAAAAGCAGCAGGTATTTAAAAAAAATCAAACTCACATAGGAGATTTTATGACGCACTTTTCTTTAACAGTACAATTTGCCATTACGAATTGCATGAAAGATATACATATTTAACCAATCAATATGCCTCCATACAATAAAACAAACTACACATTTTTAAGAACAATATAACCTTACAACTAAGTTGAAAAATCAAAACAAGGAATGGAAAACAAACAAATATTTCAAACATCTCTCCCCCATCATATAATTTTTGAGCTTCAATGTCCGCCCAGGGACCCCTACCCGATGACAAAAGTGCTTGTGATAATCAAATAATAAGTGGTCCAAAACAAAAGCAAAGAGGGTGGTTTTTTTCTTTTTCTTTTTTAATTACAGAGCCAAAGCATCATCCCCAAGTTGAGTGAAATGAGGACTTTGGAGAGCCTCCTGAAGCAGCTCATGATCATCATATAAATCTCTGTAAGTCTCCAAGTTGGAAAATGAATTTACCAAGGCTGATATGCACAGCTGTTTCCTCCATTCTTCCAAATGTGGAGATCCACTGTAATCTGCATATTTATCACAATACTGCAAGGCAAACAATGCCTATAAAATTTGTACTAGATGTAATTGAGGTGGTGGGTACGAAGTAATAAATGTTATGTTGTAAATTAATTACCTCGAAATCTGCAAGGTCGTGGGTGTTTCTCTTTGGAATGCCAGCAAGTTCCCTTGAGTGATAAAACTCCTTAATGGACTGCATCATATCATCCCATGATGGCAAGCTTTTTTTCCCTGAAAGCACTTCAGCTATCCATTTTGCTTGTGACTCAAAGAAAGGGAACCCTATCAGCTGCAACACCCCACATAAATAAATCAACCAACTCAATATATAAACTAATAATTCATTTTATTCCCAACCCCCCCCCCCCCCCCCCCCCCCCCCCCAAAAAAAATAAAACCTTCCAAGAACTCATAAACATATTTATTGACAAAAAATAAAAATAGAAAACTCTTTGGATAAAAAGTTGATATTCATGTAATAGTTTTCTCAATAAAATATAAACCTAGCTAGCTAGTCAGATGTTTGGTAAAAAACTACTACTTCAGCATAACATAAGAAATTAGCTTAAAAGTAAGATGAAAATCCCTTAATATATAATAATGAAAGTGAAAGTGAAATTATGTATGTTGAATAAATAAGTAGAATCTAGAAAATAAAAAGATGTGCACCTTTCTTGGAATTCCTATAAAGGACAGGGAAGGAGCAAGTGATGGGGGAAAAGTGTGCTCAAAAAGAGGTCCCACTCTGTTATCATCAACAACTACTATTCCTTTGGTGTCAAGGAATGGGAATGTGTATGAATACCTACAAAAGTACACAGATTATCAAATTTTACTTTGGAAAATAAAAAAAGAAGAAAGGAAAAGATTGAAGTTGTTATCATTATCAGATACATGGAAAACTCTTTGTTTGTTCTGTGGACAAGTTGGTTGAGCAAGATTTGAGGGCTAGGATGTGAAAGTAGGCTCCAATAGAAGATTCTTTTCTATTTCATAATAATCATCCAATCAGTCTTTTGAAAATGGCAAATCTTCTGGTTGCTTGGGGATGAATAAAATAAGGTCAATTGGAAAGCCTTCTTTCTTTTCTTGGTCTTTCTTCCACTTTTTATGTTCTTTTGGAAACTTAAGGACACTTTGTCTGCTTCATTATTGGTCAGTTGGTACACAAAAACTTTTATCCAGGAAAAGAGAAGAGAAAGTTGTTATGCAAAGCTGATTTATCTTGGCACTGTATTAACCCTCAATCCAACCTAAATTCTGTCATATATTAATCAACCTTAAACTAACCTATTAGCATATCAATTAGCAGATCAATTAATTTGTGCTAGAAAGTTTACAATGAGATTGTTGTTGGGTTTTATATAATATAGACCTCCTCCAAGAGTCTCTTTTTCATTTTTATTTTTGCTTGCATAAGCTTTGATTAGTTTGCTTAATACATTACCCTGTGCAATATATGACAGTGTCAGCTGTGACACAGGAACCATCCTCAAATTGAACCCGTCCATCTTCATGAAGGGACTCCATCTGCAAAGGACAAACAACTCATTTTTTAATCTTTAAATGGCACTAACAAACATCATGCCAAAAATTGATACTAAACAATTTCCATCAAACCCAGTTTTGCAATATGCCTAAAACTCAGAAGAAGAGGATGGATTTAAGCTTTGTTCTAAGCTGACAATTTGAATTGCTTAATTACCTGTGGGTGAAGATGCAAGTTTTGATGCTTGGAAATGACTTTCGATAAACCCTCAGTAACATCAAGGGATCTGGCACTGAGGTAGACTTCCTTTGCTACGTCCACAATCTCCATTGAGATATCTTGTCCGCTTTGCGAGTTCCCAACTATCACCACCACCTGAAATTAAATAAAAGAATCACAAAACTTGATGACTATTGCAAAAATTTATGCAAGCAAGATCTTGTCAGAGAAAGAAGTTAGTTGATTTCTTGTATTACCTCATCTCGAAATGGCTCGGGAACTCTGTAAATGTGACTGTGCATTTGCTTCCTTTTCCATGCATCCATTCCTATAGCATCCACGAAAAACAATTAAAGGTCAAGCAATAAGGGTGTAAAAGCATTGTTTTGATTTTTCTTTGACCTGCAGGATCTTGACAAGACAGCGTGAACAAAATTCATCTATGAAATTTACTTTCCAGAAGGGATTCAATCAACTTTTTCTTTGAAAAAAAAATTGAGCCTTCTTGTAGTCAGATGATCAGAGAGAACATACCTTTAATGCAGGGCAACCTAGGCTGAGAGTAATGGCCAGTGGCCACAACCACAGCATCAAAGACCTCCTCCACCACTTTCTCAGCATTCTTTTCCTTGCTCTTCACAACCCATTTTAGATCTTTCCCAAACTCACCATAATCCAACATTCCCACATACTCCACCCTGGTATTAAACCTGATCATTTCTTTCAACCCAAACCACTCGCAAAAATCTTTTAGGTACAACCAAAGTTCCTTATGACCAGGAAACCTCCTCATGTCCCTGCCTTTCTTCACCAAAAATGGGAAATCAGTATACCCCATGATCTCCCTGGGAGACGCAATCCTTAGAGAGTCATAAATGCTACTATGAACGTTTAGAAATTTGTTCCTTCCTAAAGGGTCCTCAATGTCTACATGAGGCTCATACAACCATTGGCCACCTATATCATGGTTTTGCTCCAAAACCACCGCAGTGTGACCCTCCTTCCTTAGCTCCCTCGCCGCCACCAGACCTGACGGTCCAGCACCAATCACGCACACATTCTTAGACTGCCCCCGGTCGGAAACCATGGTTGTACACTGCAGGATTATAGGATTTTTCTTGTGGCAAAAGAGGTTGGCACGACGAAAAATTAAGCGGTTTGCACAAATTTTTTGTAGGTGAATGATATAAATTGGGTATGAGCTATGTCCTTGCTTGTGGGGCTTTTATAGTGAAAATTTCGTCACGCAAACTTAGGAAGCCAAGCATTAGAATGGTAAAAAATTATAAAAGAAAAAAAAAAACAGCAGGAAAGAAAAGCAGATAATGATGTTGAAATAGGGATGGTTTGCTAGCTAGGAGACACACGTGACAAAATAAAATCATGATTCGGGCTTTGTCTAGCTTTGAACTAGGATTTTTAACTTTTACTTTCTAAAGTGATTCAAACATTATGATTTTTGCTTGCAGAAACCCCTTTTGATTTGCCAAATAAAAGGAAAGCTGTCTTTTGTTACAAATTGATTTTCAGTAAGTTTGGCTTTTTTTAAATGTGGTATCAATTTTAATAAATATTAATTGATTAATTATTATTAATTAAAATATTAATTATTTTTTTTATATTTATGTGATGTTGACATTGATTTGAAGAATGAAGATGTAAAATAATTTAATTTAAAATAAAAATAAAATATTTAATTAAATATAATAAAAAATAAAAATTTATTTTAATTCTCTTAAAAGCTTTTTAAATATAAATTATTATTTTAATAATTTTTTTAAATTATATAATTAAGACGTGATCATTTAATAATATCTTACTAAATATGAAACAATTCTTGAAACTCATGGATAAAATCTAAAAATGTAAAATAACTTGTCTAGGTTGTAAATAATTGGGTATGGTAAGCTCTGGCACATTGATTATTGATGTCCATGCGGAAAATTGGACCCGCTTTAGACGATAACTGACCCGAATCGCAGGGGATTCGCTTGGGACACTCAAATTCGGTGGCCATGTGATGTACCGGGAAGGGTGAACATTTCGTAAGCCCAAATTAGCCTTCATTTCTATCAGAAATATCAAAGATGCCTCTACCGCCCTATTTGTGCCACGATCGTAACAGGCCGGTTGCAGCCCACAGCCCGCAGCGATAGCGGTGTGCTGGCAAAATTTGACCCCACTCCCAACGCCACCTTGGATTCAAGGGAAGAGAGTTACTTTGGCTCCATTTTAAATAGACGTAAATCCTACACAATTCATACTTGATTTCAACCGAAATTCCAAACCATTTGACACTTAAATTAAGCAACTATGTATATTATTTTTTATTTTAAAATTAATTTTAAGTATAAAATATGATTAATATAATTCAAATTATTATATATAAAAAATTACATGTAATAATTTGAAACTTAAAATGATTTTGCATTCAAAATAAACGTCAATTTAAAATCATTTAGAAGAGGTGTCCTTCATCAGCATCTTGAGAATTGAAAATGCAATTTCTTGATCAAATTTGAAAATTTTTTTACTTATCAAGTAAATTATGAGATGTTTATTGAGATTTGTTGATGACATGAGATGAGGGATATTATAAAGTAATCTTAACAATGGACAACGAGATCGGTGTACAAGTTATTTAAATGAAAATAGATAAACTAAAAATCAATTCAGATTTAATTTTAATTATTAAATTTTTTTAAAAAAAGGAATAACAAGTTAATAACATTATTGTATGTCACGAATCTAATTATTTAGTGAATTTTCCTACAAACATAACTTTTCAATGCCCTTGGTACAACGCTTCTCTAAAATACTTCTAGGGATAATGCTTCAATTTTATTAAATGATGTTACGAGAATTTTATTCTCAAGAATTATTTTGACATAGGTATACTATTTTTATTTCCTTAAAAAAAATAAAAAAAATCTAGATTCAAAGTCTAACTTAGTTCAAAATTTCAAGAAACAAGGAGATAATAGTCGAGCTGACTTAACTGGGACCCAACTGACCCGGTTGCTTCAACAGCTCATTCATTGCTGAATCGTCAAGCCAATGAATGCCTTCAGCATGAAAAGAAATGGTACGAGTCTTGGTTTTATTTGGGGTTCCTGTTGGTAGGGAGGATAGTTTCTTTTAATAAGTTGAACGCGAGACTTTATCAGGTAACAGTGTATAATTATTAATTCATTGAATTGAAAGTGATAACTTGTTTACGAAAAGGATTCTTGTGTTTGTTTTTTATGACCAGAAAAATTAAAGGATCTCGTGTTAGATATTTGCCATTATGTAAAGGTTTATTAATATATGAAAAATCAAAGTAATTGGTGAGTACCTTGTAGACATTCATGATTCATGTGATTATATTTGTTTAGACCTAAATACCCCTCAATTATAATGGAAATTAGCTCTTTTGTGAAGAAATCAAGTTTTAAGCTTAATTAGTCCAAAGTCTTGTCAACATATATAGTCCCTCATTTAAAATATGAAGAGAGAGAGTTACAATAAATCACGTTGTTTTTTTTTTTGGTTTACCAATTATATATACATTAATGCTTCAATTGAGTATTTACCCTAGTAATATATGTATATATCTTACAATTAATTTAAAATCAAATTCAAATCAACCCTTTTCAAGATAATATATATATATATATATATGCA